GCTCTGACATCTTGCAGATGTTTTAAGGTTATAAAGAGCATAATAAATGTTTAGTCAAAATATATTTGCTTATCCCCTCCAAAAACTTGATGACGTCAGCTCGAAAATTTGCCGAATAAATCATATCTAAAATGCACAAAATATGATCAGTCTGTACTTGTGATCTATCACTCCATTCATATTTTTTGGATTTGCATATACAGGGTGATTCAAGAAAATAAATGAAAGCGTAAATTTATTTTACTGATTTACTCAGGAACTACAAAACCGAATGCTTCGAAATCTTGAAGATATTTTAAAATTATCATAAGCATGGTAAATTTTTGATCAAAATGTATGTCGTCCCCCCTAAAAAATTTATGACGTCACCCCAAAATTTTGCTGAAAAAATGCCATCTTCAATGTGTAAAGTATGATGAGTCCATACTTGTGATTTATCACTGCATTAAAATTTTTAATATTTGCTTATACAGGGTGTCTGAAAAAAATTAATGACGGAGTGAATTGATTTTGCAAAACTGAATACTTAGAAATCTTGACGTTTTGAAGTTATTGTAAGCGTGGTAACTGTTTAATCAAAATGTATCTCTTTATCAACCCCAAAAAAAATTCATTACGTCTTCTCACAATTTTGCTGAATAAAGTATATGATCTGACTATACTTTTAAAATTTTTAATATTTGCTTATACAGGGTGTCTGAAAAAAATTAATGACGGAGTGAATTGATTTTGCAAAACTGAATACTTAGAAATCTTGACGTTTTGAAGTTATTGTAAGCATGGTAACTGTTTAATCAAAATGTATCTCTTCATCAACCCCAAAAAAAATTAATTACGTCTTCTCAGAATTTTGCTGAATAAAGTATATGATCTGACTATACTTGTAAAATTTTTGATATTTGCTTATACAGGGTGTCTGAAAAAAATTAATGACGGAGTGAATTGATTTTGCAAAACTGAATACTTAGAAACCTTGACGTTTTGAAGTTATTGTAAGCATGGTAACTGTTTAATCAAAATGAATCTCTTTATCAACTCCAAAAAAAATTCATTACGTCTTCTCACAATTTTACTGAATAAAGTACATGATCAGACTACACTTGTAACTAATCATTGCATTCAAATTTTTTAACTTGCTTATACAGGGTGACTCAAAAAAAGAAATGAATCAGTCACTTTATTTTAGTGAATAAATCAAGAATTGCTAAACTGAATATTTTGAAATCTTGCAGATGGTTAAAATTGATTGTGAGCATGGTAAATTGTTAATGAAAATATATCTGTTTATTCCCCCGAAAAAATTCATGACGTCATCTACAATTTTGGCCAAAAAAGTTTAACTCAAAATGTGCAAAATATGATGAGTTTTAACATAAGCAACTGTGGCCTGTGGTTTAGTGGAGGTGGAGTGTGCAGTGCAATTAGAAGTTCCGGTAACAGATCCCGGCACTTCCAACTTTTTTCGCCCATCAAATCAAGAACAGCACTTCCGATTTTCGCAACAATAATGTTATAATATTTATTTATTTGTTATTGTGTGTTCGTGAATAAGCACCATAAATAGCAAATGTTGAAATTTTTTTTTGTGTTCGGAAGAATATCTCTTAATCATTTTATATATTGTCAATACATGATTAACTTCGACTGTTAATGTTTATACATCGAGAGAAGCAGAGAAAAAGTACATATGCATTTGCTTCAGTTACGCCACTGACCGTGTCATTTCTTTATCGCACGTTGAGACATAGTTTATATAAACAAACTCCCAGCCATTGCAAAAAGCGGAAGTTGGAAACGACGAGCGGCGCGGGGGGAATCACTTGTTTGGGTGGCGAGACGAAACAGTTGCGATTGCGAAATGCGAAGCCAATTCGAAAAAAACTGTTGAAGAGTGAGTGTCATTGAGGATATATATCTCCAAATTTTAAAAATTGGACCAAGTTACAATAATTGTTGCCAGGTAAGTGCAGATATTTTGGATTTGCATATAGGGGGTGATTCAAGAAAATAAATGAAAGCGTAAATTTATTTTACTGATTTACTCAGGAACTACAAAACCGAATGCTTCGAAATCTTGAAGATATTTTAAAATTATCATAAGCATGGTAAATTTTTGATCAAAACGTATTTGGTCGTCCCCCCTAAAAAATTTATGACGTCACCACAAAATTTTGCTGAATAAATCCTATCTAAAATGTACAAAATATGGTGAGTCTCTTCTTGTAATTTGTCATTCCATTCAAATTTTTTCGATTTGCATATACAGGGTGACTCAAAAAAATTAATGAATGCAAATTTATTTTATTGATTTAATCAAGAACTACAAAACCGAATGCTTTGAAATCTTGCAGATGTTTTAAGGTTATAAAGAGCATAATAAATTTTTAGTCAAAATATATTTGGTTATCTTCTACAAAAAACTGATGACGTCAGCTCAAAAGTTTGCCGAATAAATCGTATCTAAAATGTACAAAATATGATGAGTCTGTACTTGTGATTTATCATTCCATTCATATTTTTGGATTTGCATATGCAGGGTGACAAAAAAATTAATGAAGGCGTGAATTTATTTTATCGATTTAATCAGGAATTACAAAACCGAATGCTTTGAAATCTTGGGAATATTCTAAAGTTATTATAAGCATGGTAAACTTTTGTTCAAAATGTATTTGTTCATCCCTCCTAAAAAAATTGATGACGTCACCCTTAAATTTTGCTGAATAAATCCTATCTAAAATGCAAAAAATATGATGAGTTTGTACTTGTGATTTATCATTCCATTCATATTTTTTAGATTTTCTTAAGAGGTGGTTCAAAAAAATTAATGAAGTCAATTTATTTTATTGATTAAATTAAAGGCAACACTTATTATTAGTATTACACCCCAACCAACCCAATTTGGTAGACAAAAAATTTGTTAAAGGAAAAACTCGGTTGAAACATAAGGGTAGCATGCTTATTTACATCGACTTTAACATTACAGACCTGCATTTGTTTTATGCGTTCACTTGGTTCCGCGAATGTGAAATAGACATGTTTATAATCAACCAATTGTGAATTTCACCGTCAAGAATTAAAATAAAACCCAATGTTTTATATAATAAGTGGAAGTCGAACCATTAAAACCGATGGTCGTTTTGTTTACAGTTTCTCTGTTTGACTCTCAAGTATGCTGTTACGCCTGTCATCTTAAATTAAGAATGTTTATACATACACGATTTTCAGCTGCCTGGGATACGTATACGTGAGTAAATTGTTTCGTTATTTTATTGATTATTACAAATCAATATTCAAAACGACCCAATTCATTTTCCCGAAAATTTGAGAATATAATAATTTTTTCTTAGTATTACACTACATCTATCCCAAACTGATATACGTGTCCTTGCAAAAATGTTGATGACGTCATCGCAATTTTTTTTTAAATTCCCACTACAAAAATGTAATGAGAAAAAACACAATAGGCATGCAGTCGTCAAGTTTCCGACAGCGAGGGAAGTACTGTCTAAACTCTTTAGACCAATTTTTTTATTTAGCAATTTTTCAATTTTTCTATTTTTCGATTCTTCGATTTCTGGATGTTTCAATTTCTCTATATGTATTTTACTTTTCTCATTTTTCCATCTTTGGATTTCTCGATTTCTTGGTTTTTTATTTTTCAACTTTTCGCTTTTTTGGATATTTTGATTGTCTCTTTTTGAATTTTAAATGTTTAAATTTTTCTTTTTTTTAAATTCTAGCTTTTTCGATTTCCTATTTTCGATTTTTCAGTTTTTCGACATCCCTATTTCTCAGTTTTTTTTTTTTGATTTATCGTCTTGAACATTTTAATTGTCTCTTTTTGAATTTAAAATTTTTCAATTTTTCAATATTTTAATTTTTCAATTTTTTAAATTCTTGCTTTTTTGATTTCTTTTTTTCGATTTTTCAATTTTTCGGCATTTCTATTTTTCAGTTCTGTTTTTGATTAAACAGTTTTTCCATTTTTCCATTTTTAGATTTTCAGCTACTAAATTGCGATGTCTCAATGTTTGGATTTTTCGACTTTTCAACATTTCAATTTTTGATTTCTCGATGTTTCAGTTTTCTAATTTTTTGATCTTGCGATATGTTGGTTTCTTGGTTTTTTCGATTTTCCAACTTTTCGCTTTTTGGATACTTTGATTGTCTCTTTTTGAACTTTAAATGTGTAAATTTTTCGATTTTTGGTTTCTTTGATGTTACGATTTTTCAATTTTTCTATATTTCAATTTTTGAATTTTTTAAATTCTAGATTTTTCGACTTACTAGTTTTCAATTTTCCAATTTTTCGCCATTTCTATTTTCAGTTTTTTTTTTATTTATCAGTTTTTCAATTTTTCGATTTTTTAAATTTTAAATTTTTCGATTTTTTTTTGATGGGTCGATTTCTTCACATTTCAGTTTTTCGAGTTATCAAGTTTTAGATTTCAATGTTTTAACATTTCTATTTTGAAAATTTTTCAATTTTTGACTGATTTGACCTGACCTGTCCTGACAAGCATCAGGTCACTGCTCTGGGTGTGAGGAAACCATACTTTAGAGTCTGTAGACCTTTTTTTTTGTGGTCAAAAGCTTATTGATATTCTGACAATAAAATAAAAAGAAGTTTTCACAAATCATAAATGCTGCAAGATACCGAGACAAAATTTTGACTCCATTTTTAAATCAACCTGGACGACGATGTGTTAGTTTACGGTTATTTTCAGCAGGATTATGCTACTGCTCTTACAAATGGAGCTACAACATATTTATTGTCTGGAAAAAAACGAGATCAACATTAGATGACTTGACTTATTTAAATTGTATGTCAATTTATTAATAAATCTCCCTAAGACTTTAACAACTGTCACATATGTCCTTTCTAACCTCACTTTTCTTATTTTCTTGCTTGTTGCTTCGTAGAGAAATAATCTTTCCAAAAAAGACAGTTTTTCTAGAACCTATCTATATTTTCCCCTCCACAAAATGAAAAACTCCACTAATCGTAATAAACACTTTAATAAAGTATGCGAAGTAGATATACAAATATAAATTTTATTATCACATAGAAATATTAAGTAGACTAATGCAAAACACTAAAATAAAAAAATACCTCGTTTGTGCGGACTTGATCCCACATTTTACAATCTTCCTAAGTAAACTAACACCTACTTTAATTATGTACAGATGGTAGCTTCAACAATTCAACTAACCTACATTCAACGTAACAATATTGACTAGAACAACATGAGCACCGAAAAGGAGCGGTAAGAGCTTGGAAACTGTCAAATAGAAGGAGAACACTTAGCAAATATTTGGTCATCTTAGACTTACCATTTTCCATTACAAGAGATCCCACATTTAACACAACGTCAACAGGCAAAATCAAGCCCACCGAGTGACCAACCCAACAACAAACATCATACCCTGTATAAGTCAACAAAAATCGCTACAAGAATAGATCACTCAGTACATATCTAACAACAAAGTCATCACGGTCTCCACTCCCCTCTCTCCCCGTACTTCCAGCGCTAGCTGCAGCACTCCCTCCTCCTCACCTCCTTCATGTAAGTGGTGAGTTCATCTTCAATCGCCCCGCTTTCCACGTCTTTCAGACTGCTATTACTGATGTCGCAAGGGCTGCTACAACTCTGGCTTTTCTTAGGGGTGGTGTCCAGCTCCAGCAGGATGCTGGGCTCCTTCACCGGGGAGGAATAGTAGGCCGAAAGTCGCTTCCCATCGTCGAAGGTGCGTCTAGCTATGCACTCAAAATACTGCCAGAACTTGCTAAGACTGCGTGGAGGTGTCGTCGGATTGATGTGAATCGATATGAACTTGTTGGGGGTGGAGTCGGCCGATTTGGACATGTCGTGGATATCCTTGGTCCAGGACGGGCTCTGGAGTGTCTCCTCCTCGATCCCGGCACGAAACGTGGAGAAGGTTTTGTTCCTGGAACGAAAACCACATTAAGCTGCATAATTGGCGCAGTCGGTAGGATTCGAAAAATCGCTCCACGGAACTTCGTTTATTTAATCATCTCGATTTCATTTATCACCGTTTGTTGACTCTCCCCCTACAAACTTCTCACATTTGCCGTAATTGGTAATTTAATAATAAACATCGAGCTTCGGCACTTCGAGAGCTTTCGCGCTTGAATTTCAGGGCAAGCGTTTCATCGCTTAAAAGTATATTTTAATAATGTTCGTTCTATCTCCATATTCGACGGGGTTGTTTTTTATTTAAAGTGAGATATTGGATGCAGGACGAGAGAATGGAATGACTATTCAGAAAGAAATGTCTTCCTTTTTCGAAATTTCTCCACTTTCTCACCGCCATTTATCAACACCCACTCCCACTTTTCTAGTTAACATAACTAAATCTAGCGCAAACAAACTCCCGGATTTCCAATTTCCTGGCCCAAATGAAAGTCTAGATGGAATGATTCGATCGGAATTATCCTTTGAAAAATTCTTACGTAACGCCAGCCATCGATAAAACGTGACTAATGACAAATTCAACTTGTCACTATGAAAATGCATAAAAACGTGCCCAAACAAGGATACACATCTTCCATTATATTAAATATTAAAATTTCCATTACGTGAACCGCACGGAAGCAATTCTACTGAAATCCTCCCAGGATTTATCCCGATGTATTTAAATTTTTTGGGGCTCCTTTTGTTTTACATTGAGGAGGATTTTGAGGATGGTAATCCGATTTTAGTGATCCAGTTTCCGGGAACACTGAAAGGGTAAGTAATTTTTAATTGATTGTGGAATTAAATAAAGTTAATGGGGTGTGTTGGCGATTTGGAGGAGTCGGGAAAACGTGGAATGCGTCCTAGAATCCAGAGTAATTAGTTTAAATTCAAATTGAGTTGATTTAAGTTAGTGCGGGATTTTTCGGGAGGTTTTAATAGGTTTCAGTGCCCAGGAAGATGCTCAGAATGAAAAGTTAAAGGAAAAAAATGTTTTTAAAATTTTTCTATTTTTCAGTGTTTCGTTTCTTCAATTACTTATTTGACTTTTCAAGTTTTGATTTTTCAATTTTATAATTTTGTAATATTAATTTTTCGACTTTCGGATCTTTCAAAATTCCAATTTGATAAAGTTGATTTTTGTTGAAAAACAGAAAAATCAAAGTTTTCATGTTCTTTTCTTCAGTTTTCGATATTTCAATTTCTACACATTTTTTTTGCGACTTTTCGGTTTTTAAATTTCAGGATTATTATTTAACTTTTTAATTTGTTCGTTCTTTCAACTTTCCAAATTTAAATTTTTCGATTTTTCTATTTTCCATTTCTTCAATTTTTGGTTTGCCATTTTTCATTTTGTCAATTTCTAAGTATTTTTATTTTTCCGATCCTTCAATTTTTTTAATTTTATTTTTTATTGTATCAATGTAACAATTTTTTCATTATTTATTCGATTTTGAAACCTTTAATTTTTCAACTTCAAGATATTTCGATTTTTCAATTGTCGATTTTTTATTTTTGTATATTTTAATTTTTCGTTTTTCCATTCTTCAATTTTTGATTTTTTAATTCTTCTATATTTTCAATTTTTCCAATTATAAATTTGAAGTTTTTCTATCTGATGTTTCAACTTACTGGTCTTTCGATTTTTATATTTTCTAATTTATCGATTTCTCAGGTATTTGATTTTTCATTTTTTTATTTTTCGATTTTGATGTTTCATGTTTCTGAGTTTGAATAAATTGCAAAATAAACATTGAAAAATCAAAATTTTCAAATTTAAATGTTTGTTTCAATTTTTTTTTCCTAGACATTTTTTTCGCTGTTTCAATTTTTAGATTTTTTTATTTTTAAATAATTTTGATTTTTATTTGAAAAATCACTTTGCCGTCAGCGTTTAAATAGAAATATTTAAGATTCATACATATAACGGAGACATAATTACGTACGATTATAAACAAGGTCAACATGGCGGACAGCGATGTGCACGCGGGTATCGCGCTGTGTGGCAAATGTAAAATCAAAGTAGTAAATGCTGTTAAATGTAAAACGTGTTCCCAACGATTCCACTATAGTTGTGCAAAACTAACAAAAAACGTCGTCATCGTAGACGGAAAAAGTGTAATTTGCTGCGAAAAAAACAACAGTGCAGTGACTAGTGATGAAACCATGTTTGCTGACAGATCAGAGCTACATCAGGACGAACAGATCAAATGGGAGGAAGTGAATCCTCTATTATTCAAATACATAATCCACGACAAAGATGCATTAATCGCATCCCTGCGAACCGAGATATTATTGTTAAATCAACAACTCGATATATTATGTATTACTCGATGTACGACAACCTTGTAAGACAGCAAGGTCAGAAGAAGAATCCAACCAAAATACCGACATTAACACGAAGAAGCATCAAGTACCCAAAAAAAAGGTAAACAACGAAATGTCGAAATTGGACAGACAAAGTAGTCTCCGCGAAAACATAACAACGACGATTGTCGATAAGGAACTAGAAATGGAGAATAATGATCCGGATAAGACCAACGAAAAAAGGAACGGTGATGATAAGTACGAATGGAAAACAGAAAAAAAGAAAAGGAACAACAAACCACAACCCATTGTAGGCTCTAGTTCATCACCTAGTGTTTTGAAAGCTGTACCAAAAATGGCCTACATACATATATACAGATTGATGCCAAACACAGATACAGAAGAAGTGACCAATCACCTCAAACCGATAGCACCAGAAGTGACAGTTCAGAAGTTAAATTCTAGATACCCTAGCGAATATTCTTCATTCCAACTGACGGTCAATTTTGAGAACAGGGAAGCTGTGATGAATCCGGCAATTTGGCCATCCGGAACAAAATTAAATAGGTTTTTTCACCTAAGACCAACCACAAAGCCATCAACCTAAATAATGAGTATCACCTTCTAAATATACTAGTCATTAACATACAGTCAATTAAAACAAAATTTTTAGAGCTGGAGGCATTCCTCGTAGATCAAAACTTCTCTTTACTGGCTGTGACTGAACATTGGCTAAACGACACTGAAGCGACGAACCTACAAATTGGTAGCTTCTCTACCACAAGTTATTTTTCAAGAAAACCATCCATGAAGTCATGCAGTTATGGGGGCTCGATGATTTTGCAAGACAGCAACCTCGAATACAGAACTCTTGAGATATGTAAGGAATTATCAGTTGAAAAGCATGTGGAGATAAGCGGGGTATATCTAAAAGACCATGACATTTATGTAATTAACATTTATCGCCCACCTAATGGCGATTTAGAAGTCTTCTTCCATACACTAAGTGTCTTGTTCAGTCGTATTAACATAACGAAAAATAATGTATTAATAGTAGGTGATTTTAATGTTAAATTTAACACCAAAGAAACAAAAGCTGAACGACTCTGTGATTTCATGGCCTGTTACGAACTAACACCATTAGTATTTTTCCCTACTAGAAATAACAACTGTTTAGACAATGTATTTTCGAATATCAATGCTAATTTCACCACAGTTAGCCCAGTTGAACTAATGTCAGATCATTGTGGCATACAACTAGAAATTAAGATCCATAAAGGTGTTAGAGACAAAACGGTAACTGAAAAATATAGGCCAATAACGCAGTTAGGAAAGAATAAGTTTTTTGACTTACTCTCAAATTTAGATTGGACATTTATTAATAATCCACTTAGCGATGTGAATAACAAATTTAATTTGTTTATTAATCTTATAAAGAATCAGATGGATCTTGCTTTACCTGAAAAGGTAATACGAGTAAATAAAAATAAAACTTCTAATATAAATAAAATAAACTGGTTTGATTATGATTTGAAGGTAATGAGAGATAAATTAAATCATTTATGTGAATTAGACAAAATGTTACAGTCGAACCATTCTAGGACAGCAAGGAACTCTTTTAGGCAGTATTACCGACAACAAATTAGATTTAAAAAAATTGCAACAAATAAAAAAGTAATTGCATCTTCAAGTAATAAACACAAAGCTATGTGGAATATTATTAATAATTCGCGCAATAAACTATCTAGTCATAAAACAAAAAACAATATCTGTGATATTCCTTGTGATGTATTAAATGAGTATTTTAGCAGTGTAGCATCTAGGTTAGCCAGCGAACTTCCGCCTAGTTATGAAAACCCTATGCAGTTAATGTCTCAATGTATTTCCGTAAAAAGTACAAATCCTAAGTACTTCACTTTTACTGAAGTATCCAGTACCTATGTAAGAGAAATCATAAATGGACTGAAGCCAAGTAACTCATTTGATATTTTTGAATTTAGTGTAAATTTAATAAAATCTGTCAAAGACAAACTAATATCACCATTAACCAAGTTAATTAACATATGCATAACAACATCTACATTTCCAGAGTGCCTAAAAACAGCTATCATAGTCCCAATACATAAAAATGGTGATATTCATGAACCTAGTAACTATCGCCCAATAGCTTTACTCCCGGTTTTTTCAAAAATTCTCGAAAAAATAATCTTTAACCAATTGTCACAATTTCTAGAAAGTAACCATCTTTTATCTTCCAAACAGTATGGATTTCGGAAAGGATTATCTACTACAGATGCGGCACTGTCACTAGTAGAAACCATGGGACTGTGTTTAGAAAAGGGGGAACTTGGTATTGCCTCTTTCTTGGATTTATCAAAGGCATTTGACTGTGTCCCTCATGAGACGCTGTTACAAAAATTATACATGTATAATTTAGAACCAACTAGTTGCAAATTAATATCTTCTTTTCTAGGAAACCGTTATCAAGTGGTTAAGACCAACTCTGGTGTATCCAGTAGTCGTCCTATAACTAGGGGAGTCCCGCAAGGCTCCGTACTAGGACCGTTGCTTTTTTTAATATATATAAACGAATTCCCTGACTACTTGCAGAGCCAATCTGTATTATTTGCGGACGATACTACTATTGTCACACTCGGTCAAGAT